TTCAAAAGCCACGCCCACACTTCAACATCCAATCAGCAGCCAGCACACTGGACCGAGCCCATCCCACATGTCTATTTCATGCTATTTTTATATCAACACAACACAAGAGCAGATCTGCTCCATTCTGACTGTAGAGGAGTGAGTTTCACACACATCAGTGTCCTCTGTGAACGTGTGTGTGTGTGTGTGTGTGTGTGTGTGTGTGCTGCTTTACCTGAAAGGGGCTCTGGCTGCTGTAGTTCTTCATGTCTTTATCAGCTCCTCTGAGCAGCAGCACATGAGCACACTTCTCCTGCGCAGAGGCAGAGCGCAGCATTCAACACACTGTTAAAGGGAGAGTCTTCCTTCTGTTGAGCACAGGAAGGAGACATTTTGAAGAATGCTAAAAACCGGTAACTATTGACTTCCATAGTAGAAAAAAACAAATGGAAGTCAATGGTTACAGGTTTCCAACATTTCTCTAAATATCTTCCTTTGTGTTGAACAGAGGAAGGAAACTCAAAGTGGTTTAAAACTAGTAAAGTGTGACTAAATGATGACAGAATTTTCCTGCTTGTGTGTACTGTCCCTTTAAGAATTAAGTGTGTGTGTGGCTACATGTGAACATCTCATATGTGCAATATCTTCTTTAGGTCAGTAGTGAATTAAAATAACATCATGCAGTGTGTGTGATTCCTCTTGTTTGGGTTAAATAAGCTGAACATGTGCAAAAGTTGTAATGTTGCCGAACACACACCTGGTTGTAGAGTGCGCAGATGTGCAGAGGTGTGTTTCCTGAAGCGTTCTGCGCGCTCATGTCTGCTCCGTAACACAGCAGATGCTCCAGGTGCTCGACGTAACCATGACGACACGCCTGTCAGAAAATACACACACACATATGCCTAAACACACATGCACACATATAACATGCGCATGTGTGTGTGCATCGAGTGTATATCTGTGTTTGCACATGTGCATATTTGTATGTGATGTGTGTGTGTGTGTGTGTGTGTGTGTGTGTACTTGTGTCAATGTGCATGTGTACATGCATTTGTGTGTGTAGTATGTATGTGCAATTATGTGTGCATGAACTTGTGTGCATGTGTGTGTGTGCACGTGGTTGAGCACTGATATGTGCGTATGTGCATGTGTGTGTGTGTGTGTGTGTGTGTTGACCTGGTGTGTCTCCTGCCAGCCGTTCTCGTCCTGGCAGCAGAGAGCAGTGTTGGCGTCCAGCAGCAGCTCACAGCAGTGTGTCTCTCCACCGGCCGTCACTGTGTGGTACAGAGCCGTCAGACCACGACTGTCCTTAGAGTTTGGAGACGCTCCGAGATCCAGCAGCGTCTGAAGCAGGGAAACACCCACCGTAAACAGACGCTCAGTCTCGGTGTGCTTGATCACGAGTTCTGCATCAGCTGTGTTTAAAGTCTGCATCAAATCTAACTTTACAGCCAAACCCCAGCAAACAAAGCAAGAGGTGTGTGTTAATCTGAAGACTCTATTCTCGTGCACCTTGAGCGCGTCCTGGTTTTTAGCGCAGGCTGCTTTATGCAGAGCCGTCATGCCGTCTTTAGCCCTGAAGTCCAGATGAGCTCCTCCGTTCCTCAGCGCTTTAATAAACTCCACCATACTCTCCATCTGCACCGCCAACGTCAGCGGAGCCTCTGAAACACACAACACACACCACTGCACATCACCACACACCTCCACACAGCAGATCCGTCTCATACACACTGCAGAAATCATCAGCGCAGTGAGGGCATGGCACAGTGTTAGTAAGATGTGCTCACTGTGATGAAGACACATACAGGAGGAAACGACAGAGGAAATGAAGCAGTGAAGCACGTGCAGGACCGCTGTGTGATGCAGGACAGCTCGGTGTTTCTCTGTGCTGTACCTCCGCTCTCAGAGTCCTGGTAATTGGGGTCCAGTCCTTTATCCAGCATTCTGGACACTTTCTCCAGCTGACGATGCAGGATGCAGTCCATGAACCTCCTCAGGTTGGCCTGACAGAGACAAAAACACACAACCAAGACACAACTCATTCATTAATATTACAATATCAATCAATACATTCAATTAATGATCAAAAACACAAACTCAGCATGATGAACAGACACAGAGGAGTGTGAGAGGTGAAAAAGAGTCAAGAGATCCTGACCTGGAAGGAAACTTAATAAATAAATAAATAAATAAATAATTAAATATATATATATATTAAATGGCTGTAAGATTGGGCAGTGCGGTGGCGCAGTGGGTAGCCCTGAGAGCTTCACAGCACTCAAGCCGCTGGTTCGAGTCTCGGCTGGGTCAGTTGGTGTTTCTGTGTGGAGTTTGCATGTTCTCCCCGTGTTGGTGTGGGTTTCCTCCGGGTGCTCCGGTTTCCCCCACAGTCCAAACACATGCGCTATAGGGGGACTGATCAACTACACTGGCCGTAGTGTATGAGTGTGTGTGTGTGTGTGTGTATGGGTGTTTCTCAGAGATGGGTTGCAGCAGGAAGGGCATCTGCTGTGTAAAA